TACATGACAGAACAAAGCATGTAGAAGTGGATAAACATTTCATCAAGGAGAAGATAGACAGTGGTGTGATATGCATGTCCTACATACCCACCACGAGCCAAGTAGCAGACATTCTCACCAAAGGGCTTCCTAGGGCACAGTATGAGAACTTAGTTAGCAAGATTGCCATGAGTGATATATTCATGCCAGCTTGAGGGGGAGTGTTGGAAGATTTCTGTAATTATGTATTATATTTGATTTTGTGCTATTTTAAGTAGTTGAGAGATTTGTGAGCTGTACAAATTTTTACGAATCAGCTTTATCTTTCCTTTAATTAGGGAGATTTGTTACCTAGTTTGTATCCCTTAATTAGGTAACAAAGCCCCAGTATTTGAATAATATCTCCATCTTCTATACACAAACTCTGCATTAGAATATGAGCACCATCTGGAAACAATAACATTATCCGCATCAACTTTAACATTCAAAGTTGTTGCTTCCACAGTATCCTGCACCAAATCAACAAAGGCCACTTAAGACCCAACCCATCTATTATAGCTTCTACTATTTCCTTCCAATCTTGTGGTTGTTCATTTGTCTCAACTACCAGCTTCTTTTGCCAATCCCCTTTCACCAGGTTTGCTACGTTCATAAACTTAACATTCCCTTTTCATAATGATAGATGGGCTTCTAAGGTATCAGTTTCTCCCTATTTGTTTCTTGCACCACTTCAGTCATTTTGACTGCCTTCAACTTTCTTTGCAGTTTAGAATACTTCCTTAGCACTCTATAAATCTCTTTCAACACTGCACCTTTTCTTTGTTCAGGGAAGCATACCACCTGTTTTTTCCTTTTCCAAAATACTCATACAATATTTTGTTTCCTTTCTACATCATATTTTCTTCCCCATTCTGATCTTGGATCCTCCCATTCAACCTTTCCTGAGTATAAAACCCCATCCACAAGCTGTTGGAACCACTCAATTATCTCGTTCCCTACCAGCACTACCAATGTCATGTTCTGCTCCTTGACCTTCAACGCAATTGTCCCATTGATTTTGAAACTCTTGAACAAGAACCTCTTTGTTTCAACCTTCAACTATCTTCTCCACCCTGCCACTTGATTGAACCTTTTACTCCATGTTGGCATGCTATGGTGCCTGGAATATTAAAAATAACATCTATATCTATCTCAAAAAACCAAATTAATGAACCACAGGCAGGACCACAACAAATCCATACTCAAGTGAGTCAACTAACATCAAGTAAAACTCATAAGTCATTGGCAGGGCCACAACAAATTCATATTCGGGTTAGTCAACTAAGATTAAGTGAACTCAGCCTACAGATGCCCATTGAACTCAGGAAGGATGCAGTGAAGTGCCTTGAAAAATGAAGAATCAGTGATGACCTTTTTCTAGTTCTCTACAGTTGAGTGTGAATAACCATCCAGAAGCAATTTATCCTTATTCTATAGCATCCTGTTTTACTACTTTGAGAAGTTCATGCTGCATTGAATTGGTGGAATAAGGTTCATTTAGTTAACCCTAGCTAGTTGGGGATAAAACTTGAGAAATTCTAGGTAGATGTAAATTTATAATTAAAAGTAGGTCATAATGTGCTTTGCTTGTTTAACGATATGGGATATGGATTAATGGAATATCAAATAATTCACCTAGACTGCAAACTTTGTTGGTTTAAGTAATCCACAAGAAAGTATCAAGCTTTAAATGTGAGGGCAGCTGCACAAGGCTTGATCATGTAGATGATGTCAAATTGCATGAGTGTACATTTTTTGTTTACCATTACTTATGGTGACTTATACTTCTGATTTTCAAGTAATTGATGAATTTTCATGAGCACTTGCAAAAGCACAGTTTAGGTGATGCAAAAACACATAAATGTGCCTTGGAAGATTTGCCGTGTGTGTGTGTGTATGATAAACCCTCAATTTAAACAGTGAGTAGCTCCATAGTTGTCAAGGCAACACCTAGGCGACAAGGTGCAATTGGAGGCTCACCTCGCCTAATCGTCAAGCAGTTTTGTACATTGTGTTATAAAATACTTTATTATTCTTAATTTTTGAGATTTTAATTATAAAACAGGCATTATTAAACTAAAATATTCATTTTGTGTGTTTATATACTAATTTCTTTTTATTATCTTCTTATTTGTTAGGGTTTAATCAACACAAAGATTGCTAAATTCTGTATTGAACCTTCAAAGACTTGAAAACCAATAAGGAAGAACTTAAAATTTTGTCTGATCAACACATTTTCTTCTTCCACCTTTTCTTTTCTTATAACAGAAATAGGGGTTCAGCCCCTATGTTTTTTGAATTTTCTTTTCTTTATTCTTTTTTTCTTCTCATGAATATGTTGATTTTCTATACTGCAACATGAAGTTTATACTTTTTCTTGTGAAAATTATGGATAATTATTAAGGAAATATGGTTATGGAACCTAGGGAACTACTCTAGAATATATGTTTTTTACCTAAAAAAATCCATCACCTAGGCCACTAGGCACCCCCTGTCACCTAGCCTCACCTTTGCGCTTTGAAAACTATGAGTAGCTCTAATGTTGAATATGTCTGATCTAGAGTAGATCCAAGCTAGCAACTTAAGGCCTTGTAATGGTTTGTTTTACTTGTCTGAAAGCTATAGGTAGGGTCAGGGTTCCTCATTTACATGTAAATTAAGCCAATTTTTTCATTCCATGTGTTTTTAAAAGCATAACCCATTAAACATCTATACATCTTTTACCACTCTTTAATTCTTTATACAATACCAAGTACGTCAGATTGGAATTTTTGGTCATATTTTTTATTCTTGAAACTGTAAATGAAATTGTCTGTATCATACTTTCTGTGAATACATATTTACAAACTGTGGTTAGGTTCCCTGTGGTAAGGGCCGTAAGGCACATTAGTTCCTAACAAGCTCTGTGAAGGAATGATATTCTGACACTGTAATCCTATAGTTTGATGGAGTGTAAACATTAAACCAAGGAGGAACTTCTCATTTGTAAGCTACGCCATCACTCATCAATCATGAGTATTGCGGGGTTCAGCAACTCCAGCTTACATTGTCAAAACCACCAATATTCAATACAAATGCTAGAAATGCTTATTTTAATCTTGGATTTCTGTAAAACATTTTGCAGAAAATCTAAATTCAAAGAAATGAAGGGTTGAAGAAGCAAGACTATGAACAATTTAATACCTTAGGTGAGAGTGACCTAGCTTGATCTTCTGTCAAGTTCATAACATCAGGGCAAACTGTTCACACTCGTATCACAATGAAGAGAATGAACTTTCACCATTTGCTTTGCAATTCCAACATTCATGAACACCATCATTACTGCCTCAAGAAACAGGAATTCAGTGAAAGTGAAATAAGCTGTACAATACAAGCCATCTACTTATTTTGTTTGATGGTCTTTTACATGTTAACAACTTTATGGTTCTTACCTTAAGATCAATACCCACAACCATGCCACCATTTTTCATAGGCCTCAAAACTTCTGACAGGGTACCTGTATTAAAATAAACAGAACATGGGATTAACTGGAATAGATATACAAACTATAACAAAAATAAAGCTAAAAGAATATACATAAGATGAAATTGGCACCTGAAACCTAGCACCAGGAGCGCATTCAAGGTCGAGGACAGATGTGAAAAGTTTTATCAGTTTGTAATTGCCTCTGCATCTGTAGTAGCTGCTCTTGAAAGGAAAGCATTGAAAAAGGAAAATAAATTATTTTTTTCCTTTCAAAGTGATTGTATGAAAAATAAGTAAAACCAGGAAAAGAAAAAAGAAATAAAGCCAATAATTGTGAATGCAGACTGTGCCACATAGCCCAGATGCTGAGCTTTCTCTATAGAAGAAGTTGGTTGTTCCTACCCCACTTGTCTTCTCCTTCCATAGTTTGAATTGAAAAGTGTTGGCATATCTTCTCTCTCGAACCAGAGAATGTACACTTCTCCAGTTTCTAGTCTCAGTCTGTAACTGGTGTCCCAAAAGACACAAACTCCCATAGATTGGAAAAACAAAGTATAGGAGGATAGAATTGGAAAAAAATTAGCATCCATTCCAATCTAACAGAAACATGCTCATCTTTATTAATGGGTATAGACATTTCCTTAGTTAAACATCTCTCCTAAACCGCCACTCATTAAAAAATATATATTTTCATGGTGCAACTGTACCCCCAATGGCCTTACAAGGGAATTATTATTGGTCCATTTCTCCAATCAGTCAGAAAATAATAAAATGAAAATTTTAAAAGAATAAAATTCTGTTGAAAATTAAACATAATTACATGACCCTTACAAATTAAATAACCCTCTGACTCTCCCTCTCTTCTTATAACACCTCACTGTCTAATTGTCAATTTCTCCCTATCATCTCTTATCTGCCCCTCTCCCTCTCCATTCCCCTCTTGCTCTCCCTCTGTGCCCCTCTCTAATTCTCCATCCTTCCCTCTCCCTCTCCATCTCTCCCCTAAAATTTATAAACTTTCAGTTATAATGTAGAGATGAAACAGAAACAAAGAACAAATAGAAGAACCTAAAAGAACAGAACATTCTCCTCAAAGCCATGGTTTCATCAGCTTCAGTTTAAAGAGTACACCTAGGATCCTATTCTACACATGCATGTCAATACTCAGATATTAACCCAATAACCAAAGGCAACCCACTTCATATTGTCCTGGCTAAATATGCATTTTAGCTTCTTTCTTAACCGCAACAACATCCCAGAAGTGCTCAAACCAAGCCTGGGGAGCATGTTTCAAACAGCAACCACCAAAGAAGGATCACAACAGTAACCAGGAGGAGCCTTCATGTAAACGGTCTCCTTTAATTGACCATGAAGGCAGGCATTCTTAACACCTAGCCACTCAATGGTCCAAAATTGGATAGCAGACAATGCTAAGAAAACATTAATTATAGTGATCTTGACAACTGGGGCAAAGGTTTCTTCATACACATTAACTATAGCCTTGGGAAATTAATTGAGCCTTATATCGATCAAGAGATCCATCAAATTTTAGCTTAATGGAGTAAATCCAATGGCTCCCAATGATGGAAGCATCTAAAAGAGCAGGCACAAGATCCCAAATGCATAGTTCTATTGGCCGCCTCTGCCCAAAATGAAGGTGGAGCATAATATTCCTATAGAAGTATCCTCACAACACTAAGGACATGGCCATTCATGCGTTCTGCTACACCATTCTATTGAGGAGTGTCTGGACAACTATGTTGAGATTGAATGCCATAACTCCTCAAGTAAGCCTAACAATCACCATTTGTATATTCTCCCCCTGACCAAAGAATACAAATATTAGCCTTGAACCGAACTTGTACCATATGCTCAGATTTGTGAAAAAAAAGGTAAAATATAACCTTTGCTAAGGCACAAGTAGTACACCATCTTTCCCCAAACCACAAAGCCTGAGTATCTCTAAGAGGAAGCTCCAACCCACCAAGTCATACGCCTTTTCAAGGTCTAATTTACAGGCAAAACCTCGTCTCCCAGATCTCCTCATGTCCTCTACTACACACTCATTTTCTATTAGGATTTGATCGGTAATTTGCCTACCTTATACAAAAGCTCCTGAGCGTGGCTAATGAGGGATGGTAAGACCCTTTTGATCCTCAAAAAAAGCACTTCTGCCAGAATTTTGTAAATACTAGTCACCAAACTGATGGGCCTATAGTTTTTAGGTTGCTTAGCATCAATCTTTTTAGGAATAAGGGCTAGGAAAATGGCATTAACTCTAAGGCTGATACCATGTCTTTCTCCAAACTCCTTGAAAACTGAAAACAAATCCTCCTTTAAAATTTCCGAACAATCCTCATAGAACGCCAAGGTAAAACCATCTGGCCCTAGAGCTTTTGATCTATCCATGGAAAAGACTGCTTGTTTTATTTCCCCTTGCTCAAAATCTCTTTCCAGCCATCTCACACAGTTTTCCTCCAAACTAGGCTAATCTAAATCTTCCAAACATTCCCGGGGCAAAAGAGGTCTTCTCAAAATTGACCTGAAATGGTCCACAAAAAGCCTTGCTATCTCTTCTTGACAGTGAATCAGTTCTCCATCTATCTCCAATTTAGCCACATAATTTTTTCTCCTTCTCCCATTAGCTACTGTACGAAAATATTTGGTATTTCCATCACCTTCCTTAATCCACTTATGCCTACTAATGGAAAGCAAGTTAGGAGGAAATTTAGGAACATGCAACACATAAAAAACGGTCAGGCCTTGGGGAAGGGATATCGATCCCTAACCTGTAATGGAAGAAAAAGGTTCGATCTATAAACTTCTGCCACCCAGATCACTGCTTTGACACCGTGTTTTAACTCTAAACCCGTAAAAGAGAAGAGAAGGAGAAGGGAAGAAGAGGAGATGAGAGAAGAGAAGAGAAGAGAACAATTGGAAGTCGAAGAAAAACTTGGGCTATCGATGCCCCTCTTAATATTTATAAGTATTAACAGCATTACAATAAAAAGAAAAGGAAATTATATAAATACCCATAGGTCCCATACAACATAAACTAAGAACAAAATAAAACAAAAACAAAATTAACAGCTTTAACAACACATCCTTTTGTATCCCCCCTATGGGTGGCCACAAGCTGAGCTTCTCACGAGCTATTCGAGCTTGGTTCGTGAAAAGCTTGGCTCAGCTCGATTTAAAAGGAGCTTCGAGCCTGATATATAGTCTCGTTTGCTAATCGAGTTGAGCTTGAGACCAATATAGCTCTGCTTGTGAGGCTCGCGAGCCTAATCAAGCCTAGTATAATAAATAAATAATTTTTGTTACATATAAATATAAATATATAAAAATACATAATAAATAATTTTTATTATATATACAATAATATTTTTATTTTTTATGTATAATCGTAAATAATTTTTATAATTCTTATTTTTTGTATGTAAAATAAAAACATTTTTATATGTATATTTTTATGTTTTATATGTATAATAAAAAATAATTTTATAATTCTTAACTTTTGTATGTAAAATAAAAAAAAATATTTTTATATGTATAATTTTTATTTTTTAGAAAAAAACTTGGCTTGTAGTCGAACTCAAGCAGAGCCAAACTCGAACTTGTGAGCTTTGAACCAAGCCAATCTCAAGCTCAAGTCTCTAACTCAAATTGAGCTCGAGCCTAACACAATTTCAACAGATTGAGCTCAAATAGCCAAGTATTCGGCTCAGTTGGAATCTACCCCTACCCCCCCCCCCCTTTTGTCCTTGAATGGAAGTTACCTTTTTTTTGGAAAAAAGTAAAGTAATATTTATTCAAAGCAACACATACAAGTTGTGATCAGACCCAAAAAGGCAATCTAATCAACACAGAAATTACATACTCCACCAAGAGTTAGAACGAAATACAACAGACAAATTCAAGTTTCTAAACTCCTCAGAAATTGACACCTAAGAGATAACTTGCCCACAACTTTCTGGATTAAGTCTTCTGGACTCTTAGCCTTGTTACAGAAAAACCTGCTGTTCCTCTCAAGCCCAAATAGACCACAAGGCAGCACTAGGAATAGTCTTCCACACTAATTTCCTTTTCTTGCTAAGACCTTTGATATTCCAGCAACAGAGGAGCTCTTTTACCGATCTTGGCATAGTCCAGCTGATGTTCATGGCTCCTAGAAAATAGTCCCACAACTAAGAAGAAAACGGGCAGTGAATGCACAGATGGTCTGTTGATTCAGAATTACTCCCACAAAGACCGCAAGATAGATCCAAAATTTGAATGCCCCATCTCACGAAATTAGCTCTAGAAAGGCATTTATCCAAAGCCATGGTCCAAATCAGAAAGTTGGATTTAAATGGGCTAATAGGGTTCCACACCTAAGAACATGGGAAATCAGTGACACCCATTCTGCAAAGCTTAGAATCCAATGACTTGACAGAGAAAACACCATCCGGATTCCACTTCCAGCACCACTTGTCTTCTGAGAGAATATCAACCTTTTGATTCTGGAGGATAGTCAACATATTCACTATCTCTTCAAGCTCCCTGTCAAAGAGATTCCTTCTAAAGAGAGGGGTCCAAATGACAAAATTTCCAGTCAATCTACAACACTTAGCTACAGATGCCTCTTGATTAGAGGAACACTGAAAAAGAAGAGGAAAAGACTCAGCAAGAGAATCATCCAAGCACCAAGGATCCTTTTCTTGAAAAAAAAAATCTGGAGAACCCGTCTTAAATTCATACCTTTTTTGTCCCCCCATGCAAACAACACAAATATGCTAATAGGTTGAGGGGAGGAGAAGAAGCATGATGCAAGAATAACAGGATCACTAAAGCTTGGAAAAAGGACTTGATTTAAACAACAAAACAGAATAGAAAGAACACTATTCATATAAGTCAAGCACCCCTAATAAAAAGGCTACACATTTAACTCTTGGCCATGGTAAAACATCTGAGTCATTGAAACTTACATGGATAAAGTACATGAAATTATTATCTAGAGAAAAAAAAGGGCAAGAAAAAAAAATCTGGAAAACCTATCTCAAATTCATAAGTTTTTTTTATAGATAACAGAAAGTATTTATTAATATAAACAAGCATATACATAGGATTACAACTGGGGCAAGAAAGAAAATCTGGAAAACCTATCTCAAATTCATACCTTTTTTTTGATAGATAACAGAAAGGCTTATTAATATAAACAAGCATATACATAGGATTACAACTGGGGTATGGGTACCCCTAAAAACAGATGGAACAACAGAAACCAATACAGTCACTCCCTACCCATTAACATATAATACTCCCTGCCCTTCCCTTACCCACAAGAGCAATTGCCCACTCACACCTTAAAACAACTTAGCCCAAAATGGTTGTTCCCTTTCAACCCTTTGCCTTACTAGAGAATCTGCCATCCCATTAGCAACCCTTGGAACCCATGGAAAAGTTACTGTTACACCTCTCAGATGCCACTTGATCTTCTTTACCAAATCTCGATAGCTCCAAGCTATCTTCTTTTCATTCTTTAACCAACTTAACACTACTTGGGAGTCTCCTTCTATTAACAGCCTTCTTAAACTTAGATTTTCTACTAATTGGACCCCATACAATACAGCAGACTGATTTTTTTTTTATAAGTACAACACGGCAAACAGTTCCGCCTTAGTTGAATCTCCCTGGGCGATAGGACCCAAAAATAAAAGGCCCGTTTGGCACATCTTTATGTGCGGTCTTTCAGCTGTTTACAAGCCGCGAAGACCGATTTCCAGTCTATTTCTGTTTGGCACGCAGAAGATCTAGCCGCCAAAAGACAGAACGCCGAAAAGACGCAAGAAGCCCATTTTGGGCTGATTTTGGGAAGCTCCAAATGAAACCTCTCACATCTTTTGCATTTTAATCTATTGTGGAAAGACGCACGGAAAGACACGCATCTGCCAAACATGTTCATGCAAAAGCTCAATGCATCTTTTGCATGTCAGAGCTACCACAAGATCTTCCCAAAAAGACGTGCCAAACGGGCCAAAGCTAAGACAGTTCCATCTTTATCCCTGAATACCCCTCCTATGACTAAAGGGCCTAGGTTGCCAACATAGCTCCCATCAAAATTGAGTTTTACAAAACTTTCTGATGGTGGTTCCCATAGTTGAACTCTTCCAGTCTTTCCTGTAGACAAAAAGGCCACTTCCCTCCAATTCCTTTTTATGTCATCAAAGGAAAATGGAGAGAATAGATCCAAGGACTTAACCCAATGAATCACCCTTAGCAGGATAAAGTCTAAAATTGCATCCAGATTTCTCTCCTCGTTTTTGAAAAGTCTCACATTTCTTTCTTCCCACACTATCCAAACGACAATGGCTGCATCTCCATAAGATTCTTCCTCTTTTTCCTTGGCCACCTAAAAATTCACCTGCAAACAGACTAGGTAAGCTTATAGGTAGAGTCCACCTACACTCAAAGTGGTCAAAGGACCACTCCCAAATAGAGGTTACAAATGGACAAGGAATAAGAATGTGATAAGCAGTCTCACTGTTTGCCTTACAGTGTGTGCACCGATTAGGGGAAAAAACAAACTTTTTCTTCTCTTTTGCAGCATGTCCAAAGTGTTGGTTTTTCCATGAAAGACCTCCCAAAAAAAGCCTCCACTCTTAAAGGAACATGTTTGCACCAAATCTCATTCATTGGAAATGAAGGCCCTAAAGGAACTTGAGTAATCAAGGAACGAAAAAACAAGGCACAAGAGAAAGAACCTTGGGTCCAGGATCCAAATTCTTTCATTTGGGATGGAAGGGAACACAACCACTAAATCAAGAATGAGCAGTAGCTCAGAGATTGGCGCACATTCAGCCTCTCTTAAACCTCTTCTAAAACCCAAATTCCAAGACACTCCCTCAAAAACGGAATAGAAAGTAGAAATTGACTCATTTTTAAACAAAGATAACAAATATAAAGAGGGGAAAGCATTTTTAAGAGTAGAATCACCCACCTAGAGGTCCTCCCAAAACTGAATTTTAGACACTGAATAAGAAAAATACCTGGTTTGCTCGAGAAAGAAAGGAAGAACTGCATGAATTGCTTTCCAATGAGAGGAAAGAGTAGCTTTGTTCGAGACTCCAGCATCCCAGCCATTTTGCAACAGTCCATGTAGGCTAGCTATTACCGTGTGCCACAGTTTCTCACTCTCCAAGGGAATCTCCACAACCATTTCCCTTGCAACGCTTAATTCTTACAAATCACGTTCCCCCAGCGTTTTAAAAGTACAATGTGCAAAAAAGGTGCAAGGGCCAATTTGCGCCCAAAGCACAAGGCGAGGCACACGCTTTTTTGAAGCAAGGCGCAAAAATACCAAAAAATGCTAAAAATCAAAAAAAAAGTGAGAAATTTCAAAAAAAAATCAAACATATAAAACATTTTCAAGCATGTAAAACCCACAATCTCTTTTTTCCTCAATTACAGTACTTCAAGTAGCTAATGTGATGTAAAACATATTACATTCCTGATTCTACAAGCCACCTTTGTGCCATGCCCCTCGAGGCAAGCCCAAACAAGTCCATGATAGGGTCTTAAATTCTTAATTTTCACACAAGAAATAATGATTTTATAATTTTAATTGCCTTTTAATAAGATTTTTATTAAGATGAACGAATGAACAACATTAGCAAATAGGGGGTTCTCGGAGCTTTGGCCCAGCCAGTTGGTTCAAAAAAATGCAAAAAAAGCATAAAATTTTCAAAAGGCGCACACCTGGGCTAAGGTGCAAAGCGCATCAGGCACACGCCTAGGCGCACCAAGCACGCACCTTTTGAAAGCGTTGCGCCTAGAACTTGGGCGAGGTGCCTACCCTAAAATGTGCCTTGTCTATGCGCCTAGGCATACCTTTTAAATCACTGTGTTCCCCACCCCTAATTCACCTTCCTCCTTACTCCCGGTCACTAGTTCCCACTTCACCAGATGATCCCTCTTTTCCTCTCCAGGTTCCCAAAGAAAATCCCTCATTACCTTTTCCAACAAGTTAGCCACTTTTTGGGGGATCTTAAAGACAGAGAGGTAATACACTGGAAGGTTTGCCAAGGTGGAATTGATCAAGGTTAACCTACCACCTAAAGAGATGTAATTCAAATTCACACCTTTTTCCTCTCATGCAAGCAACAGAAGTTTGCTAGCAAGTAAAGAGGAGAACAAGCTAGATGCAAGAATGAGAGAAGATCAATAAAGCTTGGAAAAGGAAAGGACTTAATTTAAGGAACAAAGTATGCACACATTGGCTAGACCCCAACAAGGGCATGTGAGAGAACTAATCATCAGAGCTAGTAAACAAGGAAGAGAGCCAAGAAATAAGACAAAACATGTGAAAATCCCAAGAAGCAAATCATAGGAAGCTTCACTAAAGGGGAAAGCAGTTGAAGTTTTCTCCATAATTCCCATAAATGTGTAAATGAAGTATTAGAAATTTTTCCATTTTTTTTTGTTTGGGGGGGGAGGGGGGGCATATTGATTAGAACATTTACCCTCTTTTTGTTGCAGGAAACATTTTAGAGGAATATTTCAAAAATCAATAAAATTTGCTGCATCAACTGCCAAGCAGATTGAAGAATATTTTTTTGGTATTAATTACTGTCTGACACCCCCTTGGGGGTCGTTATTCTTTTAAGTGAACAGTACCACATCACATCAACAGCTCTTTTTATTTATAATAACGGGATTCAAAACCACACCACCACTGGGACAATTCATCCAACGCACCAACTGGGCTACCCCTCAGTTGGTCTACCAAGCAGATTGGAGAAATTAAGGTTATAAAGGTAGACAACGGACTACCAATTGAAGTTATGCACACCAAATTTCAGTTTTTTTTTTCATTCTTTTGAAAAAAAGTAACCATGCACAATAAGTTATAAGAAAGTAACTGTTGCAGAAAAAGAAACACCACTCAAAGGAACTGCATTTAAAATGCCCTTATATAAGTCAAGGCATATAAATACAAAGGCCAGGTAACAACAAAGCCTTCCAACCATTTTCTCCAAAGTAGCAAAAAGCATCAAGTCATACGCACCTTTTTCTCTAAAAGTCAAAATCCTACATTTTTTCAAAGTCCAACTACAATGCATTCTAAAATTTTTACAGCACACTACATCAAAATTACTGGTCGACTTTTCATTTGTTCACATTTGACAAGGTGTACTTAACATTAATGACTTAAACAACATTCAAGGTGTGTCACTTTATCGATGGTTCATTCACATTTGAGTTATTTGCAGCAATTTCCATAAACTGCACCATAGACTAACATAGAAACAAGGGAAGAGATGGAGATCAGACAAACTTTTGACTAAACAATCTCCTATACCCTATTTGGTTCCATTGCCATGTTATGAGGAAACATTTTGTACAGAATTTGTCTTGAAAAATGAGACAACATTTTTCACTTTATGATAGCTAGGCACCACATAAGCCAAAAGGTGAGAATGTTTTGTCATTGGAAGAAATGTCATTTTGGCATTTTCTTAATAAATGTTTTTCACATAACCCAGGACAAGCATTTTCCTAATAAACAGCTCAACCAAACAAAAATTGAGGCTCCATCGCAAGAAACACCTACTTGGCACTGACCTGGCAGCAATTTTCTCATAAACACGAATAATACTAAACACCATCCTAGAGGGAACCATTAAATGTGGTTCCATCCTTAATATTTGCATGTGTCTGTCATATATGATGCGTGGTTTTACTCAAAGAAATAAGTTGCGAAATTTTAAAATATTCAAAGCAAAGAAAGAGAACTTCTTCTAAATTAAATGCAAAAAGTTCTCTTGTGTTCAGCAGGAAAATAGAAGGTCATGTTAAACTCTTCAAAAAGCTAAAAGTGCATCCCTTTGAAAAAACAGAAACAAAGACAAAAAGAAAAAGTGAGGAATCTATGTTTCACTAGTAATGCCTCCAGACTGCAATTCCTCCTCTCCCAACTCCTTGACTGCCCTTATAAGACCCCGAGTAATCCCATTCAGATGCAACCCATTCTCTTTCATTTCTTGTAACAACTTCTCTGCTGTTTCCCAGTCTAAAGCCTTGAGACAAAGAGATTGGATCAATTTATTGTATTCATCAGGATTTGGTTGGACTCCATATTTTTTCATCTCACTCAGCAACTTTAGAGCCTTATCAAATTCCTCAAGTCTGCAATAACCACGGATGAGTATATGATAAGTAACAGGACTTAGCTTTGAATGCTTTTTCTTGGCTTCGGATAAAATTCTGCATGCATCATCCATCTGGTGCTTTTTTACATAACCACTCATAATAACACTGTAAGTGTATATGTCTGGTCTCAATCCTCTACTCTCCATCATCTTCACCAGTGCCAATGCATCATCCATTTCCCCAGCCTTAGAGAGGCCATTGATGACTGAATTAAACACAGCATTCCCAGGAGGTGGGCCTGCATCAATCATCTTAAATAGCAGATTCTTTGCCCCATCAACGTCCTTGATCCTACACAGACCACGGACAACAGAAGAAAATGGCTTAATTGCATATTTCTGTGCTTTTCCCGAAAATTCCTCTAACAACTCTAAAGCTAACCGGACAGTCTCGTCCTCTCTACATAAAGAAGTGATCAGAAAAGTAATAGATGAATGAGGAGGATATTTGTTCTTCTCTTTTGCCATCAGAAAAACCAGATGAGCATCTTTAGCTTTCTCTCCTTTGCAGAAGCAAGAGATAACGTTACCAATCTTCTCGCTCTCAGGTAAGTTCCCACTGTTGAGCATCTTCTCACAGACAGACCAGGCCCAGTCAAAGAATGATCGACAACAAAGTGCTTCAATCGTAAAATAGTAAGAGTCTGCATTTGGAATGCATCCAAACTCCTCGAACTTGTTAAACACTTCTAGACCAGCCTTCCCCTTGCCCAACTTCCAAAACAGAGAGATCAATTCGTTGAGAGCATCAGTTGTCAAGACAGCATTCTCCCTCTCTCCAATTTCCTTTACCAAGTCCCACAAAGCATAAGCATCCTTCTTCCTAAGACCAGCAGCGACGGCCCGAACAAGGGAATCAATAACCCTGGAAGTTACAGAAAAGCCCGGTTTTCTTGAAGCCCATTTGAAAAAACCAATTAAATTTCCACCCAAGACAAGTGGTGTCTGTAGTACTCTAACTACGAATTCCTCAGTTAGAGTCAAATCCATCTTATCCAAGCTTGATTCCAGAGATCCATCCAAACTACTTTGAAGAACGGAGAGTACATTCTCGACTTGCTCCATATCAACATCGGGAGTTTCGTCTGGGGCTTCCTCAAACGGTTCTTCGGGAACAAATTCGCTCATTTGATCCTCACAGTTACCAGCTTCTTGGAATAAAGGATCTGGACTTTCACCCTCAGGCCCCTCTTCATCGATACCAACTTCTAAGTTCAATGAAGGTGCACCAGATTCTTGTGATTCGAGACTAGATATTTCATCAGAAAGCACCGAAGAAGTTTCTGGTTCATGCGAAAGAAATCTAGGGTTTTCATCAAAACCACCACTTGTACTGGTAGAAGCATCAGCTGACTCAAGAGCCGGCGAAGAAGGTGATTCAGAATGAACTTGGTCACCGAACTCATGAGCAATAGGAGCTGAATCGTGAGAGAAAAGTCTAATGCTCCGGTAACAAGATTTGTTGTGAGAGATGAAGGTTGAGGAATGCAAAGGCGGAGTTCGAATAACGGGTAGGGTTTCGAATGCTACCTGGCATCGAACGGGAGCTACCAGTCTTGAATATCTGAGGAGAACGTCTCTTGCTTTTGACCTCCACATCTCTTCTCTCCAAACCGTGAGAGCTCACCAGCAAAACCCTTTCTCTTGATCAGCTGGTCGATCAAAGGGTTTTTTGAGCGGTTGGGGTATCCTTCGTTGGGCTCGTTTGGAACTTGGAAGGGCTGACCTCAAGCTTCAGCGTGGCAACTCGGTTCGGAGAGAAACAGCTGCCGCGCGGCGAGTCCGGAACGAGTTCACATCTGCACCCAAAAACGCGCCACATGAACATTTCAGCGTGCATCGAGAATATCTTCTATATTTATCATTTAGCGATATTCCCAATACACGTTTCAACATTTTATCTTAAATTCATCATAACTTTTCAAAACGTACGTTAAATACATTAACGTGTGTTAGAACATAACCCTCTGTCTCAACATTTGAATCTCTCGCTCCTTCAACAGCTCATGTATTGCGTCTTCGCCTCTTATTCTTATCAGAAGATGGACAATGTATGTCATCCATTTCTGAACTTCCCTTCCCCCTGGTGGGGCTTCTTTTTTAATAAAAAAAAGATGACATTAATTAAAGGAAACAAAACATCCAATTTAAAACTCCAGGTGGCCGCCCCTCCACTTGGATTAAGTTTGGGGTTATAAAACCTCAAGTCGTTTCCCATAATTTATTTGATTTTGACTAATCTAATGGCTAAGGCTTCTTGATGATGCACGATCCGGTTGGTCTTAGCTGCCGGTAACCTTGCCTCTGACGGAGCTGAAGATGCCTGAAACAAGGAAGAAATAAGAGATTTCTGAGGAGGAACCTGATGGGAATACTTCGAAACTCAAGTTAATACCCTTGAGAAGGCAAGGAAAATAAGGGATTTTAAGACCAAAAAGCACAAATATCGCCTACCTCTTTTATTGGGGGAAGAAAGTCTTTTATAACCACCTGGTGCACTCACTCCCAAGCTTCTGCCAGTTTAGGTGTAATCGCCTCTGTGGGGGGCAGACATAACCGCCACTGTCCTCTTTGTCAAGGTCGCCCCTGCAACAACTGAGATGGCGGTAGCAGGTGGCCGTTACAGTGTGATTATCATCTATCAGATCCTAACCAGTCAGGCGTGCTGCCTCAGAGTACGAACTTGTTAGGCACGTTTTTACAGTTGCACGACCTGGGGCCGAGGTGCCGGAGTGGTGCACGAGGTGAAGTCTTGAGTTCGGATGAGAGTATGGCCCACTGTCCTGAGGTGCCAGGGTGTGGCCCGGACTGACACGAGGTGGGCTAGTCCGGGCTTTGCCCCTTGCAGGTTTCCTTGTTAGCCTCGGGATTCTTAGGGAGAGCTCGGGTTTCACCTCTCAAGAAGTGTGGGTTCTTTTTGGGGAGCTCGGGCCTCTTCTTGAGGAGCTCGGGAAGCTCGGGCCTCTTCTTGGAATATGGTTGTTGCTATGTCACTGTGTCGAGCTGGCGTTCCTGCCAGGTCACACCCGGTTTCTTCCACGTGTCGCACAACCAAGGGGTTGGGCCAAATCTACCTCCATCAATTGCCCCCCACTTCCCGTGCCAGGGGTCTTGACCCGACGGGGAGTTCACGGACTAACGAGTGGATTTGCCCCGTGGCGTGCTTCGTCCAGTTCGGAGATCCTCCGATCTGACCCGCCTATGTTCCCGGCTCAACCAGGGTCAGCGCGGCTCGACCAGAGTCAACCCAGGTCGCGTACTGCTCACGTGCGGATGTCAAACGATTTATCATCTTTCGAACGTCAAAAATTCGCGCTAAACTGATTTCACCTCGGGGGTCGTGCAACCGGTTTTCCTGAGAGCCGTTGGATGGCTTTGATCTCGACCGTTGATGCGCAGGTACATCGGCTATAAATAGTGGGGGCCCTGGTCACTTTTTCCTTTGTCAATATTCAGCGATCGTTTCTTGAGCTTGCGTCCAAGGTCCTCAGCTCGCGTCACCTTCCCTAGTTCGGTAGCGTTCACTTGGTGAGTCCCCTTAGCCTTTTCAATTTCCTTTCCTTTCCTTTTGCAATGTCTAGTTCGAGTAGCTCGGATAGTTTAGATAACCTTTTAGGAGGGCCTGAGGCGGAGACCTCGGGTCAGGCTGCCTCTTTCGACAGCCTTCTGGATGAGCCCGAGGTAGGGCCTTTAGTCCGGGTAACCCCTGGTAGCCTAGAATCCACTTCTCATCGAGTTCGGATGCCAGATACGTTTGGACCCTCCACTATGACGTCTGAGAGACTTCGGTCCCTTATTCGTCAGTTCAACCTGCCCAGGGAGTACGCATATAGCTTACCTACGGGCAACTTCCCTTGGGAGCACAGTCCGGATGAGATAGTGATCTTCTGGGAGCAGCTCATTTCCGGGCTACGCCTTCCTCTCCATCCCCTAATCGTCGAAGTCTTGAACCACTTCGGTGTCTCAGTTGGTCAGCTTCATCCGAACTCCATCCGTAACGTCGTCGGGACCATATCCCTCTGTTGCGAGTACGTTCTTCCCCTAGACTTAGAAATTTTCTCTGCCCTTCTCATGCTCAAGTAGCAAGTGAGCTTCCTTCCCGAGCACAGGCGGGCCTACTACCTATCTCCCCGCCCGGGGTTTAAACTTCTTCATAAGCTTTCGAATAAGGTCCCGGCGTGGAAGAGAGACTACTTCAAGGTCCGAAGTGCTACGGGGTGGTCGTTTCCTACTCATTGGAGGGCAGCTGTCCCCGATCCCGGCGTCATGTAAGATAAAGACATGGCGGAGACCTTTCAGTCTTGGGCCCAGGTCGGGCTCGAGTGCAGAGATTACCTCTCAGAGGCTAAGCTTATTCAGGTCGGTCTAAGTCCAGGTAGGCTTCTTTACTCAGTTTTTTTTCTTTTTTTACTGATGTCGAGCTCTTTTTGCAGGTATCATGGAGGTAGAGAAGACCCGTGGTGTCAACCTACTTGACGGAATGAAGAGGAGGAAGCGGGTCACCAAGCGAGCACGTGTGGAGTCTCCTCGAGCCATGAAGTCCAAAGTCCCGAGCCATCCTCCGATCATCAACCTGGATTCTCCCAGGGAACCTGAGGTGGCCGGGCCAATCCCAGAAATGGTGGTGGAGCCTGGTGTCGCAGAGGCTCGGGAAGCTGAAACTACAGAGGCTTCTCGAACACAGACAGTGTTTTCCAGCTCGGGGAGCCAAGAGGGGGTTGGCAGTGTGTTGACTCCGAGTTGTGCTCTCTGGAAGAGCTAGAAGGCCGTCTATCCAGGCGAGGTCGCAGCATGGTCCGAACTTCCTCCGGGCCACATCGGCGCACGTGCTACATCTCATGTTATGGTGGTAGGTGGTTTTCCCTGTGTTTTTTCCTTCGTTTTTTACTTTCTTGCCGAACTGACTCCTTGCTTGGCAGGCAAACTCCTCCATCCATGCCCTGATCATCCAATCAGAGAGGAATCTGAAGCGGGCGCAAACTGCCGAAGAGGCTTTGGGATCAGCTCGGGAGCGGGTCCAACGTCTTGAGGGTGAGACTTCGACTCAGAGGAGTGAATTGGAGAGACTCCGAAGAGAGAATGGCGCCCTGAGGCTTGTCGTGAAACACCTCACGACCTTGAAAGGGGTCTTGGAGCACGAGGTGGAATACCTCAAGGCCGACATCAAGGAGAAGTCCGAGATCTTCTTCCAGGCTCTTGAGGACGCCAAGGTGAAGGCCGTTGACGATTACATAGCATCGAAGCGCTTCAACGACTTGATGGTGGGCTCATACCAGAGAGGCTTCAAACTGAGTCGGTGGATGATAAGGCACGCATACCCCGAACTTGATACTCGTGCCATCACCACCTCGCGTATTACTCCAGAGATGGCTCGTGCAGCTGATGAAGATCTAGATTCTGAAGACGAGGTTGACTCCCCGAGGGTTGCCGAAGTCCCTTCTGAGGGCAAGGGGGATGTAGTTCCAAAGTGATGTGTACTAGGCCTGCGAGCCCGAGGTGATATGTATCGAGCCTGCGAGCTCATCATTTTTTTTTTTGAATACTGTAAAGTAAACATCAGTAATGAAGTACCTTTTTTTGCTTAAGTGTTGTGCAATTATTCTCTTTTTGCCAAAGTGACTGTATAGAATAACCGAGTTGCATAGAATTAGGTCCCCGAAACGAGGGGGGTTCCTTGAGGCGGGTTAACATATTAGGGCTATATGCCCGATCTGTTCTCCGCCTGGGTAAAGGAAACATCAGTTCAGTAGGCCTAACTTTGGAGCGAGCTATACACCTCGGGTTTCATACCCGTGTTGCCTGCTCTCTTGGCACTACCACTTGGTTTGCGTTGATGAGGTCCCGAGGTCATCCTTAGCTCGTCGATTTAGCCCTTAGGATGCTTTCCTAGGATTTTCCCATGCTGGAGAGGCGACTGGGTCTTGTAGTGTTGAGGTCTTTGTTACCTCGGCATTCTTGTCCTTGGGCTCTGAGAGCGGCTCACAGTCTGCCCAGTTCGGTAACTTATAGGTAATATCGCCTTAGGTTGACGATGTTCCATGCTTAGGGTATTTGCCTATCCTCTAGGGTCTCGAGTTCGTACGCTCCTTCGAATGTTCTCTTTCCTCGGTAGGGTCCTTCCCAGTTCGGCCCGAGTTTGCCAACATTGGGCTCAGGTACCATGACCTTGCGGAGAACCAGGTCGCCGACGCGGAAGTTTCGCTTCTTGACTCTGGCATTGTAGTACCGAGCTACCCTTTGCTGGTACGTTGCGGTCCTGATGTATGTGAGGTCCCTTACCTCGTTGAGCAGTCGAGATTGGTACGTAGCTCGTCGTTATATTGTATTGTCATTGTATGCTTCCAATCGAAGTGAGGGGATTTCGATTTTGGATGGATGATTGCCTATGTGCCATAGGTGAGGTTGAAGAGAGTTTCTCCGATGGCGGTTTTCTCTGTAGTTCGGTATGCCCATAGAACGCTGGGTAGCTCGTCCGCCCATAACCCTTTAGCTCGGTCTAGCTTGGCCTTTAGTCCGCAGAGAATAACTTTGTTCGTGACTTCTGCCCGACCGTTTGCTTGTGGGTGCGCAACCGACGTGAAGTTTTGCCGGATCCCCATGTCTTGGCACCATTCTTGGAATTTGATGTCTTCGAACTGCTTGCCATTGTCGGAAAACAGTATCCGAGGTAGCCCAAAGCGGCACACTATGTTCTTCCAAAAGAAGTTCTGGACGTTTCGACCTGTGATTGTTACGAGAGGTTCAGCTTCAACCCACTTTGTGAAGTAATCCACTACCACTACTAGGAACTTCCTCCCACCCGTTGCTGGCGGGAATGGCCCGAGTAGATCGATGCCCCATTGCGCAAAGGGCCATGGGATGGTGAGATACTTGAGGT